AGTAACAGTAGTAACAGTAGTAGTAGTAGTAGTAGTAGTACTAGCAGTAGTAGGTAGGCGTAGGCGAGGCGTCGGAGTGGGAGCAAATGGTGGCAGTAGCGGTACCAGTATTGAATTTGATTGTCGGACTAATGTTAGTACCTGAATGCCACAAAGCCGAGCGTAACGTTTGTTGTCTCGGGACACACAGCCACCGTGTAGACTTACATAATGAACTGGCATTATTACTTCAGTTCCATTGCACACCTTAAACCATGAGAACCACACTTAAACAACAAGAACTAGTCACGAGACCGCAATCTCCAAACCTGCTTAGACTTCCTAGATCTTCCCATTATACGTTGACAGGTACGGAATAAGTCTACTTATCGGTTAGCCTGGTTCATGCCCAATCTTCAACAGCTACACTTGCTGCCATGAAACGTCTGCAATCCTGACAACCTACTCTGTTCTATCCGAAAACACTACACTCTAAACTCTCAGCTGCACACATTCACCCGAAAGCCCTTAAGCCAAGTTTGAGACCGTAGAAACCATTGAGCCCCAAACCACCAAAGTTTTGGCGCTACAGCTATTTCAGACCACAGAGCCCCTGAAGCTGTTCTGGCTCAAGGTTAACAAATACCTGTTTTTTTCAACCTTCCGCCCCGAATGTCTTCAATACTATAAGGATTCCCTGCAAAGGATCAGGATCTCTTCGTTCATCAGGGGGTTTGTCCATTGCCTCTTAAACCTTTTTTTTCCGAAGCCCTCACAGAATCATAAGTCAAGAAAGGAATTTCAACAACAACCACCTTCATCGGTCTGCGTGACACCCTACACCCTAAACCCGCCTGTAACCTGTTAGAACCCTAAACCCTAAGCGCAACCCTAAGTCCCTAAATCCTTAAACCCTAAACCCTAAATCCGTATACCCTAAATGTAGACCCCATGTCGTCAGCTTCGGTCTGCAACCACTACAACCCTTATGGGTCTTCGCTTGCACCCTTTCATAACCTTTTCGAGCTGCAGGTGGGTCTACATTACTCCATATATCCTAAAACTCCTTGTGATCCTCTAGAACTATAGAAGAACCCATACACAGGGAACCCTAAACCCTAAAAGCCCTAAACCCTACACCCTAAACCCCAAAACCCTAAAGCTTACATATTCCGGGTCTTTTTTTTGGTTACTTTTCCTGCGCCTGCCGAGCCAAAGGCTGCGGAAACCGACGCCGGCTTTGTCCCACATCACAGCTACCGGCCGAGACCTGAGATGGGGATTGCGGTTTAGGGTTTAGGGCTTAGGGTTTAGGGTTTAGGGATGTTTAGGGGTTAGGGCTTAGGGTTTAGGGATGTTTAGGGTTTAGGGCTTAGGGTTTAGGGTTTAGGGATGTTTAGGGTTTAGGGTTTAGGACTCCGGGCGAAGTGGAAAGCCTGTTGCAAAAGGGTTTAGGGTTTAGGGCTTAGGGTTTAGGGTTTAGTAAGTCTTAGGGTCTCAGGGCTCTATAAGGTGTTTGTACTAGTTCATGCAAGGTTTCCAATGTGGGTTTACAAATGGGATGTGGCTCTAGCTTCTTGTGGGTTTTTGACTCAGGGCTACTCTGGGATGTAAAGGGTGTTGGGATTGCGGGGTCCCTTGGATGCCGTTACAGTTGTCGTCGAAAGGTTGCTGCAAGGATTCCAGAAGGGTTTCTGGCCCTACTTCTTATGTTCTATGAGGGTTGTCTTGCAGAGATACCTGTTCATGAATAGTTCCGGGAAGATTATTCTACTGGCCATAGTAGACCCTGAGATTTCAAGCCCTCTAGGGCTTTAGGGCTTACGGTGTAGGGATTTACGATGACATATTTGCTGCTATGCTGTCGGTGTTCGTGTTACTCTGCTGAAGCTAATTATAAGAGCAGCCGATATTTGCTGACAGTCCTGTTGGCATCTGGGTAGTTCTCTAAGTTAGGGTCCCTGGTAGGGTCCTTTTTATAAGGGTGCCGTACTATATTGGAGACTTAGAAAAGGACCCTAATTTAGAGAACTACCCAGATGATCACAGATGCGTTTGCCTGTGCTGGTTCGACAGGTACGGAAATGCTTACTTTCATGTACAAGTCATCCTGCTTGTCACTCGCGAGATTGCATAGGACCTCTTCTTGGTCACCTTTTCATCGTGATCTTCAGACAAAATGCTAGACCCTGGCAGGGCCTCAACCCCCAAAGCCTTCACCCTAACCCTGAACCGCAAACTTTCAACCCCAAAGCCTACTTGGAGGTTCATGGGTAGTTATAAGTGGGGTTATAAGTAGGGTAACTATAGCTATAACCCAAATTAAGGGACTTATGACCCCACTTATAACTACCCATGAACCTCCAAGTATAGCCCGCCCCCCACCTCCCCAGCCCCCGTAGACCGAATCACTCCTGAGGCCCCTGAAGCTGTTACCAGCCTTCAGCCCCCAGACTTGACCCAGGCTTCGCCCCTAATTACCACCTAAAGCTCAGCGGAAGATCTTTGGGATCTGGAATTTTGAATTTTGGGTCTCAGGTTTAATCTAGGAATGCCTACGTCAGTCTTGTTCATGTCAAGACGTTTAAACTACTCGAAACCCTTCAGCGCCATGGCACCCAAAGAAGCAGGCGCAAGGACATCGAGATGCTCCCTGCAGAAGGCCGCCGGCGGTAAACACAGCGGTGTGAATAGTTATGAATCACTAATGGCATCCGCTCACCAACCCTATAATATGTAGATGTACAAAATCATACCTCACAGTCCGATTCAAATGATGAAGCCCCTAGACGAGGTTGGCATGTACATGGATTTACACTCCAGGGAGTGGCGGCTTGGGGTTGATATGCTTAAAGATCTTGATCTGAGCTGTGGCGGTTTGGACCGACGGCCACACAGTGAAGCTGAGTTGCGGTCCAATGAGAGGAGTCTGATGTTCAAGGACTTTTTACCCAAACTGAATGTGGCCCGTCGCCCCGAATCTGCCAGCTCCTGGAAGCGTGCTCTCCACACGCTGAGCGCTGAAAACCCGCTCTTAAGGAATGTACCTTCAAGGTTGGTGGGACCCTTATGTTGAATGAAGGTGTATATGTGCGGTGTAGACACATGCATACCTTAATTTTGTAGAAACGCTCCTGAATAGTTGGATTTTGGAGTCTCTACACCCTGAGCCTTGAAACCCTCGACCTGACAAGAACATGCGCCTAAGCCCTTACACCCTAAAAGCCCTAAAATCTAAAATGCCTGAGACCCCTGTGTTTGCTAAAAACTTGAAAACCCTAAACCCTACACTGGTTGTGCTTGGTTTTAGCCTGTTGTTGATGCTTTGCCAGTCCTGTGCGTGTGATGCCCCCGTAGCAAGCTCAGACCTCCTCGAATGCCATGCCAGCCTTGTGCGAGTGTGTGAGTCGAAACTCTGCACTTGAACAAGTCCCGGCTAGAATCTAGCGCCCTAGTCGGAGCCCTAATAAGACAATAAGATGCTACACCCTCAAAACAGGTGACCTCACGACCGCTCGCTTGAAGATGTTTGCCGCCGCTTATCGCTTTCGCACCTTTGCTTGAATCATGTCGAATGGTGCCCTAAACCCTAAACCCTGGCCCGAAATCCTAGGGCTAGTTGTGCTGGAGCCGATCTTTATCGCTAGTGCACAGTCGCTTGTGGGCATAGATCCTTAGCCATGCGAGAGGGAAACAAATCCTAAACCCAAAGTACAGTGCCCTAAACCCTAAACCCTAAACCGTAGTGCCTTTCACGTAACTTCGGAGATGGGATTCGGACCAGGCCCCCTTCTCTAAGGGAAGTGGGATGTTCCCGCTATTAATGCAGACTCCAGATCTCGAGACTGCCTTTACACGTCATGCATATTTCTATCCTTATGACCCTGGTTTCGCCGTATCTTATCTCGGGTCTACATTACCCACGCCCTAGCCGCCCTAGCTTACACCTTTTTTGCATGAACTAGGCCCTAAACGTAGGGGTAATGAAATGCCTTCAGCAGTTTATGTTCAGGCACCACCCTAAACACTAAACCCCGTTTCTAGCTAAGCTGCCTTAGTGTTTTAGGCCCGTGGTTTCAATATTTTCGGTTGCCGGCCTTGAAAATTCAGGGTTTAGGGGCCAATAATGATACTGTTTTGGGGCGTTCATTGGAACCGTTACTACTGTTTCTGAAGGTTCTTATAAGTGGCTTTACTGTAGTACAGCAGGGCTTCGTGGTTGTATTGTAGTTCATGCTAGACCTGTGGCTCCACCTGCTCGCATTGTTTAGGAGTTTAGGACGTAAAAACTTTGCCCGGAAGTACGAGTTATGCAAGGGGCAGCATTCGACTATTTTGATCTATTGCGTAAGTGTGGGGGGTGGGGTTTACACAAAGACTCTGCCGCCTTGCGGGTTTGTTTTGGGCGAGGTTGTGGCTTGAGGAGTTTGAATTTTGCATCTTACCTGTTACTGGCAGAGAATGATGGAAGGGCTCGGAAGGACCCGTGTGGTAACCTCTTTGACAGTGGTATCCTGTTTGACAAAGAGAAGCACATACAGATAGCTGTGCCTTATGTGGACATTAATTTCAGAGCTGGCTCCCTTCGGGTTTGGGGCTTGGGCTTCGGCTTTAGGGGTTAGGCTTTGCGGCCTGGGTGTTCAGGGGTTCCAGGAATTTGGGATTTCAGGGCTTATATGTTAACTCCGTAGCACGCAGAGCTTTCTCAGACACGTCAGGAGTGGATCTGGCGGCTTAGTAAAGAAGCCGATAACTATCCTGGTCCTTGATGTGGCGCAACCGTCACGCAGGTGCGGCTAAGGCCCGCCTGAAGTGCGTCGCGTAGGAATGATCCTGGGTGTTGCTTTCATGAGAAGCTGCGGCTTCTTACCAAGCAGCGGTGGTAAAGACTGGAAGTTTGGCCGAATCGAAGATGGCTCCTGCTACATTTTTTGGTTTGTGTGATTGGAAGAAAGGTTTCCAGCAAGCGGGTGCAGATGAGAAGGAAGCTCATGAACCGCCGATGAGCGCATTGAAGACTGAACTGAATGCTGTTTTAACCTCCCAATCGCAAGCCTCACATCCGAAACCTCGAGTATTTAACCCTTGACCCTGCACCCTAAGCCATTCGCCCTGCAACCGCCCTCTACACCCAAACCCACAACCTTTGAAAGCTTACAGCAAGCCTCTCAAAAACTGTCTTGCAACATAAAAGGTGCTCGGTCAAAGATAGTCCTGGTCATCGCTCCGGATGTCTGCACCTCAGTATCGCGACGGCTCAGACATGCTCGGATGCGTCTTTGGGGTGGCTCTAGGAGCCTGTAGGCTTTAGGGTTTACGGTGGATGATATAAATCCTGCATTGCCCATCATAAGGAACACGCCATACTTCCCATAGTTTAGGGTCCTTAAGGTCATGCAGGGTTTAGATCATCAACAGTATGAATCACAGGCTTCGTGGCTTGGTTTAGTGGCCAGGGTTGATGCACTGTGTAGATTTTGGGCGTTGGGCCTCGGGGTTTGCAGTGCTTTGATTCAAAAAAACTGAAGCCCCTCAGCTGAAAGACCGAACTTTGCGATTTAGAAATTAGGGTTTAGGGGCCATAACATCCTCAACCCTAAACCTTCACCCTAAACCCTCAACCCTAGACCCTACACCGTAACCTTGACCCTCAACCCGTATAACCCCACCGCCGATATTCCCACTGAAGGATGCGGCGCATTACGCCGCCAACCCAAAGGCTTGGCCCCGTTTGTCAGGAGGAGGGCTCCAAAAGGCTTCTTGGGGGGTTTAGGGTATAGGGTTTAGG